TGTTATAGTGAGCAACCAGAAAAATACAGTTAAGATAGCAGAATCTACAGCACTTAAATAAAAATGCATAAACATTTCCAATTAAATCAGACAGGAAATAAAATAAGATTAATACAGAAATAAAAATACAAACAAAACCAGAAAAATGCTTTCTTGACAACGTTTTGTGAAAGTGGTTTGCCATTGCCTTCTTCCTGGAGCTGAGAGAGAGTGGGCAGCTCAAAGTCATCAAGCTAGCTTAATGGAACTAGAATGGAACTAGAACTCACTTTCTCCCAGTTTTTGGTGTGGTAACTTAATTACCACACCAAACTTGGTGCAGAATGTTCTACCTGTATTCCAAGGACTCTATAAATATCTAGCTATCTCTTATATCTTGAATTAGTTCCTTATACACACACACACACACACACACACACACACACACACACACAGAGAGAGAGAGAGAGAGAGAGAGAGAGAGAGAGAGAGAAATTATTTTTAATAAAGAAAAAAATCCACTGGCCTTCTGCCACTTTCTATTTTCCTTCGTGTGACAAAGATATCCTTTGATTTATTTCGTTCCAAGTCCCTTGGCCAAGGAGAGACTTTTCTGTGTACATATTGGATATGCAAAGTGATCTCCGGGGAAGATTTGTTGTCACTTTTTGCAATCTAATAGAATAAAGAGTTTTGGTGGTTCGCCAAGTGGTTGTGAGATCTGTGAGATAAACAGAGTGACTGCTGTGCAGGCCTGCAACAAACCCATGGAAATGGCCAGTGGTTGTTAGTGGCACCCTTAGTCAATCTTCAATAGGTGGAGTCGTGTTCCAATGTCAGCTCAGCAGGAACATCCAAAGAGGAGGATCAAAGGTCAAGATGAAACTCTTGACTGCATGGAACCCCAGCCCCTTTCCATGTCTGTAGTGGGACACAAGTAAAAAGAGGTTGTGTCAGGAACCAAGGCTGTTGAAATGAGTACAAGTTTATTCCATGCTAGTTCTCTACAAGAATCCGAGCTAAGCACGGTCAAGGCAAACTGGTGGTACTGTAGATAACAGTCAATGGAATTCAAGGAGGGATGGACTTAGATCTCTTGTGGGTGTGAAGGGACTTCAAACTGATGACATGCTTGGCCCCTCCCTCAGGCTCAGACTGGTCAACTTCTGCAGGTGGGGCTTCACTCATGTGGCCATCTTCTTCATCTTCCCAATATCTGAGGCACTTTTGAAACCACCTTGCTCTCTGCTTGATCATTCAGATCAAGGTTCTTCTTGTTCTCAGTTTCTACACGTTTTCTCTGAGATTCCTGATGGCTCCCTCTTGCCTTCTTTGCTCAATTGCTTCAAATTGATAGAGATCAAAACATGACAGCATCATTTGTTCTTCCTGTCAGGGAAGAGGCGCAGCTGCTGAGAACCAGGACATGGTGGCACCACCGTGACAAACCTATAGCATTACTCATGAAGTCCCCTATCAACCCGGCCCAATCTTCTCCCCTGGCACGTCCCAGTACGCCAGTGGGGTGATCTTGTTTAATTGTGCATTTTGTGATTTAAAGTTCATATCCTGTCCTTCCTCCCCACCAGTGACAAATCAACGAAGCTTGAGTGAAGGGGAGGTGGAGGGCCAGAAGAGTGGAAGAGAATTTTTGGCTCCCTTGCTTGATCCCTGAAAACAAGAAGATGATAAAGACTTCAAAGATATTACTTTATGACTAAATCAAGACAGGGAGGGAGAAAAAAAATCTTTCTTTCTAGGCAAAACCGCTATTCTTTGGGAAACTCAGTCCCTTTACCTGCAGGGTTCTGATTCACCAGTTTTTTATTTTCTTTTACACAATTACAATGTTTGTGCATGGAAGAAAGAATGTTCAGGAGGCATAAAAATGGAATCAATCCCCAGCTCTTTTTTGGCTTGTGAAGATGACTTCCTTGGACAAAATAAAATAAAATAATAAAATAAAATAAAATAAAAAAGCTGCACATCAATGACATTTTCAGGGTGCAGAATGCTGTGAGCAGAAAATCTCAGGGGACAATTCAACCAAACCTATTTCAAGATTCTTTGAGGTTCTGTGTCTTCCACCCTAAATACAGAGTAAAACCTGGCAGTTTTGCCAACTCTGCGTAGAGGGGCGGGTTCAGGGGTCTCTGTGCCTGCCTGTTGCCCACCATTGCAGTATAGACTTGTAACTTAAGGTCACAAGGATATTGCCTATGCAGTGGTGGGGAACCAGGAGGAATAATAAAACCCTATGACAGTTCGTAATGATCTCCAGAAGGATAGCTGTGTTATTTTCCTACAGTCCAAACAAGTCAAACTGCCATGGCAGATTAAATACTCTTAAATTTATTGTGTCCATGAAAAGTTGATGTCACAATAAATCTATTCTATCTGTACACATAGAACAACCTGTTAGTTTTTTGCAGGGAGATGGAGAAGTCTGCAATTTCCAATCTGTGGCTGAACTTTCTCTTGAGGCTATCTTACAGGCAGATGAAGATGGCTGATTAAATTCCTATGGTGCATTTCCACCAACCCACACATACAGACACACAAACATAAGAGAGAGAGAGAGAGAGAAGAGAGAGAGAGAGAGAGAGAGAGAGAGAGAGAGAGAGAGAGAGAGAGAGAGAGAGAAATCCCACGAGGCACAGGTTGATTTGATCAAATGCTGCCATTTGCATATTAACATTTAATATTTCAGTTTCCGCAGTGTCTGTTTTTTATACAGTACTTCCTTCTTCAAAGCAGGGAGAGACTTTTTTTTTCCAAACTCAAGTCAATCCAACCATTTTATTTTAAGAGAGAGAGAGAGAGAGAGAGAGAGTTTGCTGCTGTATCTTAAATATCGTGCAAATGTTCTCATTCAATTCCCTTTGTGGCATTCAGTTCCACAGCCCTTAGAGAACAAGGCTAGGAAATGGCATTGCAAAACTGTCATGCCACAAAGCCTTTGTGAGCATTTAAGATAAAATTCAAAATGAAGGTCAGCTGGACTTTTCAGGGCTCCTTTGATGCAATTGTCTTTGCAAGAAGGGTTGATTTCTGCCTCTTCTCAACACTCCCGTCCTTTCGGAAGCTGCTCTGAAGGGGATCTCGGTATCCTCCTGACAAGGACTGAATCTTTCGCAAGACCCAAGTCCATTACGAGTGTCATACAGATGCAAAATAACCTGAATGGGGGGGAAAAAAGTTACGCTTCGGGTTCTGCAATCTTCTCTTTCATAGCCCAGAAGAGGATGCAGCCCAGTATAATCGCAAAGGTGGAAAGTCGGTGAATGAAAAACCTCAACGGGTTGAGAACAAGAGTGGGTGGAACATTGTGAAGGAGCAATAAAAAAGCAGGCATTTGAATGCAACGGAGCAGCAAGGAGGAGGCTTTCTCCAGATCCAGCTGATCTGAGTCAAGGCGCAGCTGTTTTCTCAGATCAGTGAATGCCCACTTCTGTCATTCTGAAAGGAAAGTTCATAGATAAATGGTGCTTCTGGTTCCTGGAGGCCTGCCCTGTAATCGCAAGATAGAATAGAATCTGTCTGAAGGCTCAAACATGGGCCGTGGAAAGTGCCTCCAAAAAAACCTCAGCAGCAAAGGGATGAATCAGAGAATCGTAGGGCTGAAAGAGATCCCAAAGATCCTCTAGTCCAACCCTTTGCTGCCAAGCAGGAGACCCTGTACTATTCTGGACAAATGGTCATTCCATCTTTTCTTGCAAACCTCCAGCGATGGAGCATCTCCAACTCCGGGAGGCAAACTGATCCACTGATTAATTGTTCTCCCTGTCGGGAAATTCCTCCTTCGCTAGTATTTAACTAACTCTGCAGCATCTGAAGAGCCAACGATTTCCATCTCCTAAACAGGGATCTCCCAACTTGGCAACTTTAAGACTTGTGGACTACCACTTCCACAATATACTAAGCTGGCTGGGCAATTCTGGGAGTTGAAGTCCACAAGTCTTAAAAGTTGCCAAGTCGGGAGATCCCTGTCCTGCAACATAGCCGTTGGAGAGTGGCCATCGGTGGCTGGGAGACCAGCGTTTTAGCCTGATTGATTCTGTACTCTTGGGATGACGAGAAGATGTATTACCAGAGTATTTGTTCCACTAGGGTCTTGTAGATAAATCAAGCCAGTAGAGGCCTTGTCCTCAAGCCTGTAATCAATGAGCCAAGCTAGACATGACATTCTTGTTCTGTGTCTCTTTCTCCAGACAGGTTGTTTTTTAAAAACAGCTTCAGGCCATAGTGTGAGCAGAAAAACATTTACGGGAGGGGACGGAGTGATTGCTTGACCCCTGCCCTTCCTACTCCATTTGTCTGCTTGGATCAAATCAAGGCCTTGCTCCCCTCCCCTCCAGCATCACTAGCCTGGCTGCTTTTTATTAAACATAAAAAATCATTGGGGGGAAAAAGGGCAACTAATTGAAGTCAACACTGAATAAAGAAAAGTCTGCATTTAAGTCTAGTTATATAAGCTGTTAATCATTGTAAGGGTGAAGTAAGCTGACTTTAAGATTGGTGTATATAGATAGTCCTTACTAATGACCACAATTGAGCCCAAAATTTCTGCTGCTAAGCAAGGCAATGGTTAAATGAATTTTCCCCTATTTTATCACCTGCCTCGTCATAATTATTAAGTGAATCACCAAATAAGGATCTGGAGAAAGGCCTTCTCCATTTTTAAAATATTGTGCGGGTGTCACTTGTTGGGTAGATATTTTTTCCCATGTGCTATTCCATAGTTGCAGTTGTTTCTGGGACAGTTTCAAATGACACAAAGGTTAACATGATAATGGCACACATGAAGAATCAGGACCACATGTTAAGCTCCAGTTAAGCTGCCTTATGGCTCATGCCTATACACAAGAATCTAGTCAACTAAGAGTAAGCATTAAATTGGCACTAGATAAGAGCTAACAGAATTCAAGAAGAGCAGTGGTGGGATTCAGATATGTGAACAACCGGTTCTCTATGTGGATGCCACTTCCAGAAGTCCATTCTGGGCCTGGGCAACAAAAAATTAGCTACTGGTTCTGCCGAAGATGTCCCAAAGGAAACTGACTCCCCTCCCCAGCTTTCTCAGCCTCAGTAACCACTTGGTCTGCTCAGTGTGTTTTTAAAGATGAAATGATTCCCTTTCCACTTGAACAGTTGAGCACCCAAGGAAGAAGGAATGTAAACAGCTCTCCTTTACATTAAATAAATGTTCCTTTTTATCCAAGCAAATATTCCACAAAGTCAGAATGTGACTCTTGTAAAAGTGGAAGAGACATTAGAAGGTTTCTGGCTTTGCATTCCATACTGAGAATCCAGAACTAGAACTCTCCCAGACAATTGACTGTTGAGCTTCTTGGGGAAACATCTTCAAGGAGAGAGCAAGAGATCCTAACCCTGGTTAGATATGTGAGCCTGTTGCCAAACTGCTCTGTCTAAGAAGAAGCCTTGTCCATGGGCTTTTTGAAATTCTCCACCCAATTTGTGGAGGAGAAATTGGGTGGACAATTTGGGCATAAATCTCCATAGAATCATAGAGCTGGGAAGGACCAACACCATACTCAAGGCAGGAGAATTTATACGACCCCAGTCAAATGATTATCCAGACTATTTTATTTAAGGGGAAGAACAAATTCTGCAACACTTCTCATGGACAATACTGTGGACATGCTGTAGTCAGAGGTGCCCCCTGATGTCTTTCCTTGGGGTTGAATGGAAACATGGAAGGTGGAGAAACTATAAATCAATCCAGAGAGGTTTGGATCCCGAAAGGTAGGATCCTTTGTTATTCAAAAACAAATTCTCTTTCATCAGGCTGAATGGGAATTGGTAGACCACGGTTTTTCTCAACCTTGGCAACTTGAAGATGTGTGGATTTCAGCTCCCAGAAGGATGGTTGGGAAATTCTTGGAGTTGAAGTCTACACATCTTCAAGCTGCTAAGATGAAGAAAACTGTGATAGACAATTTGGAAAGGTTTTTCTTCCTGGCAGTGATACTAGTTTCCAGTTCTTCCCAAATGTAAACTTATGTCATTTATACCCACTAAATTTAATCCTGATGACTTCAACTATATCATCTACCTACCTACCTACCTCTCTCTCCCCATCTCTCTCTCTCTCTCTCTCTCTCTCTCTCTCTCCATCCATATCTATCTATCTATCTATCTATCATCTATCTATCTATCATCTATCTATCTCTATCTAATCATCTTTGTTGCTCTTCTCTGCACTTTTTCTAAAGTCTCAATATCTTTTTTGTAGTGTGGAGATCAAAATTGGTTGCAGTATTTGAGGGGTGAGAAATAAAGACTGACTTCTTGAAGGCATCTCAAGCCCAACCGAAGCCAAAATGGGTTTTGAATTCAGCATCTGAGCTAAAAAAGAATCTCTAACGAACTTGATCAGGGACCTTTGTGTATCTCTCTGTTCATCTTGATGCTGCTTAGGCAACTGATGTTTTCTCTTGAAGCCTCTCTTAGTACCTTCTGCGCATATAAATAGGTCCAGGGCAAGATGCTCTGAGTTTCATTTAATATTGAACATGTGTCACAGTCTTCCTGGCTGGGTTAAATAAAGATGGATTTGTCTGTTTAGGGATTTTCCTACTGAGTTGAACTCGATGGATGTAGTTGGGGACCCAGCAACTCAAGTCATTTACAAGCACAAGTGAGAAATAAAATTTTATAGTAAAACACAATTGATTTGACAGCTTGTCTGGAACAGCCTTTGGTACTTTATGGACTGCCCAAGTGGGAGAGAGCTGCAAACTGTTTGATTTAACTTTTAAGGAGTGAAGGAAAGGGACAAACCTTACCAGTGAATTAAGACATGATATCTCCTGTCCTTCTCCGCGTGTATGATTGTAAGTGGACCTTTTCACATTTACACATACATCCAGGCAGGTGTATTATGGTTGATTTTACCTTGGATCAGGTGGGATAATTGTCAGCCCTTCAAATAATTGAGTGGTGGACAATCTTCCTTCTGTCAAGGGAGACAGAAACAACAAAGTAGGTGGGACTGATGTAAAGAATGGGAGAGACCAAAGCCCAGTCTGGATGAGGACAGCCCATTTTCTCCTCTTTTGTTTTTTGACCTCTTTTGTCCTCAAGTTGCACATGGTGGAGAAGAGTCTCCTTTTTTTTTTTTTTTTTACTAGAGTCTGAAACTTCAGGAAAAAATTCAGAGAAGAGCAACTAAGATAATCCAAGGCCCGGAGACTAAAACATATGAAGAACGTCTGCGGGACTTGGGTTTGGCTAGTCTAAAGAAAAGAAGAAACAGGGGCGACATGATAGCCGTGTTCCAGTATTTGAGAGGCTGCCACAAAGAAGAGGGGGTCAAACTATTCTCCAAAGCATCTGAAGGCAGGACAAGAAACAATGGCTGGAAACAGATTGGGGACCTCTGCCACAGAGTATAAGTCAATCCCCTCTTCTCTGTAATAGCTCCTTATGTACTGAAAGACAATTAGGTCCCTCCTAATCCTTCTCTTTGATAGGCTAATATATCTAGCTCCCTCAACCATTCATCCTGTGGTTTAGCCTCTAGACTGCTCACGGTCTTTGCTGCTCTTCTCTGCTCTCAGTTTCTTTCTTGTAATCGTGGTGACCAGAACTGGACGCAATATTCCAAGTGTGGCCTCGCTAGTGCAGTATAAAACCTTGGGGAAGTTTTCTCATCTCTTCCTTTCAGAGCAGTATATCTGCCAGAAGGATGTCAACCCACCAAAAGTGTGCTGCTGTTATGTGGCTGTTTGCTGTCAATAGGCTGGCTTCGTGGAATGTCTCTTATAACAAAGAGGCCAGCGGCTGTGTGCAACTTGGAAGACCACACTCTTCCCATCCTTGCGGTCTGACTCACGCTGAGACAAAAACAAATTATTAGAAATTCAGACTTTATTCTACCCCGGAAAGAGTAGAGTTATTGAGTGCGTAGGAGTGGTGGTGTGGATTTTTTTTTACTTAGTCAGCTCTCCATTCCTGTCTTCCTGTAAAAGAAGAGACCCTCACCATGCCCTTGGGTGACAAATGTATATTTATATTCTCTGCGTTCATGCTCTCCCTTTCAGGTCATCCACCCAGCTAGCAAGACTTTTCCAGCCATTAACTGAACTCTGGCCCTTAATCAACCACAGGAATGCACAACAGGAATGAAAAAGTGGGCAAGTCAAACCACTCTTGTGGCCTCTTTTCCTTAATGTGGGAGACAGCAACAATCACCCATTTGCTTATCTAAGCAGATGTGCGTTAGCTTTTAAAAGGCTGAATCACCAAGCACATTCATTAATGGAGTCAGCAAGAATATTTCTCCTGACTTCTTCACTCCCCCCCCCCCCAGGCAGTTTGAATTCAGTCGATGAAAGAGCATTTGCTTCTGTGGTGGAAATTTCACCCATAAAGCACCAACAATCGGAGAGATTCCAAATCATTATTTTATGAAGCTTCAAAGCTACCAAGTTACAGTGAGCCACAGGTCTCTTTCACCAAAGAGCTAAGAGCTTCTATGTTACATACACCACTATTGAACAAAGATAGTTTAAGTGGATGTGTCAATCAGCAGAAGATCCTAAATAGAGAATAACAGAGTTGGGACCTTGGTGATCTTCTAGTCCAATCCCTTGTTCAAGCTTATAAACTGGGTATCATTTTTGGAAACCTCTGTAGGCCACAGGCAACATCGATGGGACAACTTCGAGTGGCAAGTGGGGATCCAAAGGATCAAGATGGATCATTTGGCCATCTTTGTCATTGATAAAAGGTGGAAGAGATGGAGGTTGCATTGCAATGCACCATTCTTGCTCACTTTGATCTCTCTGTTGGAGATGCTGCGTGAAGATTTGCTTAACCACTTAAAAGATTTAAGTAACTGTGTGTGGCCTCCTTCCATAATAATACTGCATCAGACAATTTGTATATTTATCGTCATCAACTTGGAGTGGCTTTCTTGGCCCCCCACCCTCTTGTATTCTTCTTCTACCAACTTTGTATCCCAAAGTTCCTTGTGGATTAATAGGAAAAGATGACCGTTTAAGCATGCTGTGGTTTTTCAGTACACAATCTCTCTGTTTTGGTTGTTTGTTCTGAATAAAAAACTGTCCCTTTCACCAAATGAATCCTAGATAACTTGACATCTATCCTAACAATATAGTGCTATCATGGGAACACACATCTTGTCAGTAAGACGGAAGAGAAAGAGGGAGAGATACATGGAGTCGATAGGAAGAGAATTCTATAGTGCTTTATTGAATTTTGGGCTACATCTTAAATGTGCTTAATTTAACCGGTGCTGAGATCTGTTCCTTGAAAGAGGGATGAGAATGGAACCCAAATTATAAAATGAACAACTTCTTATATGACATCCAATCATCTCTATTGGATACACATCTTTAAAAGAAAAGAAAAGGAATTATTCTAAGTCTTTTGGCCACATGGCATTTTTATACCCTAAAGAATGTCTTGTTATTTTCCCTCGATAATAGCTGCAGATTAGAGAATTCCGCTCTGGTGAGCAATTGCACAATTAGCTAAGCGTTTAGAACTATATTATAAATACCCAACAGATTTGGGAGTCCTGTTTCAGGTGGAGAAGTTAATTGTAGGATGAAAAACCTGGGTTACTTTCGAGCAGTGAAGGCTGAGCCAAGTAATCGTCTTTTTATACTGTCCCATAATCTCATTGTTTGTTATGGAAAATTAAGGGAAGTTTCTGCTAGACCTTTTCGTACTGGCCAAATTTCTTAGGCCAGTCTCATGATTTTACCGATTGTGTTAACTTCAATCACTTTAATCCTACGCTTCCTTCAGGGACCTCTCAGTAGGGCATATTGAGATATTTAAATTTACTGATAGAAGGGAATATTTCTAACTCAGGGTTGAAATATGTGGGGTCCTTGGTGCTCTCTGAGGTTGGTGGTTTCTTGCAGTGGTAGAGCACTGGTGATGTTATCTAGTTTGGTAGCAAAATGTCTGCAAGAAAACCACCAGGTTAAATGCTCTAGAATTATTATTATTATTTTTTTTGTTCCAGCTATAGATTCTCCTGGTCATTTCAAGGCTGACTAACTTAACAGTGATAAAATGGAAATATAATACAATCTAAGATCCCATATGCACATAATTGGTATAACTGGCTAAGAGGCAGTTAGTGCCAAGATATGTGACAATGGCATTTCAAAGAGAGAGAGAGAAAGAGAGAGAGAGAGAAAGAGAGAGAGAGAGAGAGAGATGGTTAAAAACACCATTCTCACTAAAGCAGCCCAAACATCTTCCCAGCAAGAGTTGAAACTGCTACAAGACTGTGTTTTCTGTGAATAGAAATGGTCAGCACTTGATTGGCAATGGAATTAAGAAATATATGCTGAGGATGTCTATGGAAATTCTCAGTCATCCAGGCCATGATTGTCCCAAAAGTGCTTTTTCAAGAGGCAATTGGACGTCTTTGTTTTCCTTGAAAATATTTTGCTTCTCATCCAAGATGCTTCTTCGGTCTTCTTCAAGGAAAAACAAAGAAAGTCCCGTCCAGTTCTTCCTCCACATGTTCTTCATATGTTTCTCTTTCCTCCACACTCCCAAAAGTTAAATCCTGACCTTGACACTCCTCTGGTCAACTGAAATCTAAGTGCTCTATCCACACATTTCCAATTGACATATGTTTTGCCTAGGAGGTAATACAGACTGGGTTGTGTACGGGTGATCATCTGCATGGTAGAGAGGAAGCCGTGATAAAAAGCCGAGGATGGGCTCCTTAAGGGGATAGAGACAGCACTGCCAAATGTGCCCAACATAAATAGCATGCCAGATATGTTTTCAGTGATTTATGCTGCGCTCATGTGCAAGCTTCTCTGGAAACTGCATGGGACCTGCTTCTGAATAACAACTGGGAGGGGCTGGTAAGCTTGATTTGACAGCTCTTTCATTTAGCCACATTTTCGTTTTACCCAATTTAAAACCCAGCATTTTAGCGCTGTCAATTATCCTCATTCCTTCTCCTTCATTGTTCCCAAATTCAGGCAAAGAGGCAACGATTTGATTCTTAGTGGGCCATTGTATAAAATGTTTCCAGCTCTTTTTTTTTTTTTTTTTCCTTTTTAAACTATACAGGTCAAAGCGTTGGAATTCTTTTTTTTTCCTCATGGAAACTCAGTGATCAAGCAGAACACCTGGAATTCTTTGTAGAAAGAATCGGTAGGCTTAGCTGGCTCAATTATAGCAATGGTCTTGAGGTTGGATAATGTGATAGGATGCACCTTTGGGAGTAAAGCTCTGTGATCTAGAACAAACAGCTGCTAACCCACTAAGTTGCCCCCCTAGTTATGTAAACCCAATCATTGTAGGCCATAAATTATGGCTTAGAATATTGGTGAACCCAGCTAATGGTTTATTCCAATCATGGTTATTATGCATATCATAAGCTTTGTGTAATGTGTGAAGGCCACTCATGATTGTCTCCAGCAAATATCTGATAACTGACAGCTCTTTTCAATCTCTTTCTTTTTCTCTCTCTTTCTTTTGTACCTTTTCAGACACTTCCAATTCTCATGTCCCGATAACCTCCATGTTGCCTGCAGTGAGAAATGATACAACCTGTTGCCTCTAGACCTTTGAAGCTCACAGGAAACCCACCTTCTGCTCATCCTAAATGAAGTTGAGTTGGTGTCCTTCAGAGGATTTCATTGCAATCCAGAGGACCTCAACTGCCAGGAGCATGTCCATTCCACCTCTTGGCCTGCAAACCCAGATTCTGACGGATGGCAGACGGTGGTGACACCATGTAGAAGGTGTTGAAGGGGTGTCCTAACTGAGTTGCAATGGTTTTATACACTTCCCCATTTCCTAATGGCTTTCTTTCTGCACTGCATTCCTTCTCCTGGGGCTTAATCTTCCCATGCTATTGGCTCGGGGACCGGCTCCTGGCCTCTTTTGTGCCTACCACCTATGAGAAACGGCAAAGGGGAGATGACCCGTGCTACTTCCATGCTCTCTGCATCATCATCACCACTCCCATCTACTTAGCATTGCTGGTGGTTTCCCTTCCTTTTGCGCTGATTGGGTTCCTTTTATGGTCCCCTCTCCAGTCCATGAGACATCCATACATTTATTCCAGACTACAGGACAAAAGCCAGATCAACGGATCCACCTTACTCACCGAGTGGAAGGCAGCCAGCAATGGGAAAAGCTTTTGTTTTAGCAGTGCCAATGTCTGCTTGCTCCCAGATTCCTTGGCGAGATTAAACAATGTTTTCAACACACAGGCCCGAGCAAAGGAAATTGGGCGAAGGATCCGGAATGGGGCAAGCAGGCCCCAAATCAAAATCTACATAGATTCTCCCACCAACACATCCATCAGTGCAGCAAGCTTCAGCAGCCTCATTTCGCCACAAGGTGGAGATGGCAATAACCGGGCAGTCAACACAAGCATTAAGAGAACTACGTCCATGGAGTATAAAGGGGACAACACTGGCTCTAACCATGAAGATTGCAGAGATCCCAAAGCTGGAGGAGATGCTGGTGATGGAGAAGATGGTAACACTTGCATTGTGCGCATAGGTGGTGAGGATAATGGTCATATTTCAGACCTAGAAGCTGACGGGATGGGAAGCCACATGAATAACAGCAAGGGAGCAGTCAACTGTTCACCTGAATCAGAAGCTGAGATCCTGAAAGGTCAAACACCCAACCATAAGCAAAAGGAAGGGGATTCTGGAAGCTTGGATAGTTATACTGCCTCGCGAGAGTCCCTGGTGAAGATGCGCTCTGGAGATGGTCCAGTTGACCAAAGCACCGTGAACAGTAAACTCCTCTACAAGGCATCGCTTATGAAGAAGACCTCTGTGAAGAAAAAGAAGAATGTGGACGAGCCTTTTGACCACGAGATCTCCGCTTTCTTTCCTGCCAACTTGGACTTCCTCTGCTTACAGGAAGTGTTTGACAAAAGGGCGGCAGAGAAGTTGAAAAATCAGCTGCACCGCTATTTTGAGTACATTCTGTATGACGTTGGAGTCTACAGCTGCCGTGGCTGCTGTAGTTTCAAATTTGTGAACAGTGGCCTGCTTTTTGCCAGTCGCTACCCAGTTATGGATGCTGCCTATCACTGTTACCCCAACGGAAAAGGAACAGATGCCTTGTCTTCGAAAGGTGCCCTGTTTCTCAAGGTAAGACCCTTGTGGTACAGAATAAAGGGAAGCCGTTCCACTGGTTGATTGTTCTCCCTGTCAGGAAATTTCTCCTTAGTTCTAGGCTGGTTCTCTCCTTGGTTAGTTTCCATCTGTTGTTTCTTGTCTGGCCTTCGGGTGCTTTGGAAACTAGGTTGACCCCTCTTTTAATCCTTCCCCAGAACATTTTTACAATTATGCTTTGAGAGAAAGGAACCGTGAGTGGCAGATGATATTTGAGAGAAATAAGCACTCAGCAGGAACCAAGTTAGCAATTGAATTGTTGGGGGGGGGGAGGAGGCATCCTGGGCAGAAAGCAAACAAGGAGGATAATTAATTTCTTTTTAAGTGCATCAGTCTTCTGGAGTGATATATTTCAGGAGGACAGGAGAGATGCAGCCTTAGCATGAATTGCTGGCTCACCGTTTAGAGAAGCAAAGGGAAGCAGGGGAGGGAGAAAAGAAGACAACGGCTAAAATGTTGAACAGAGAGTGTGGGGAATAACTAAACAAATGGTGGGAGTATGAAGAAGGGAGCACAGAGAAAAGATGATGTGATTTTGTGGAAATGCCTCCAGGGATGGTCTTAGAATAGCGGGAGGAACCACCCAGATCTTTTGAATGACATCACATCATCTAACAAGCTGCGGCATTGCTCATGCTGCCCAGCGCTCTTATGATTGTAGACCAAAAACATACGAAAGATCCACAAATTTCTCACCTTGGCTAACATGTGATTTATGATTGCTCTTCACCCAGAGTCACCTGCTTCAGATGGCAGCTATAGAAACTTGACTACATAAAATAAAATAACAGAATAACAGAGTTGGAAACAACCTTTGAGGTCTTGTAGTCCAACTCTCTGCCCCTAGCAGGAGATCCTACACCATTCTGGACAAATGGCTATCCAATCTCTTCTTAAAAGCCTCTAGTCTTCTAGAACTGAAGGTGTTATCTAGATAAGTAATGAAATATCTGCGGGAAAAACAACCAAGCTTAGCACCAAAGACCCCCCCAGAAACAGTGAAAGGGGGACAAGATGACTCTTTAGTTCAGGTTTTCAAAGTCAACAGCAGCCAAGAACCTGCCCCCTACTCTTAAAAGTGGAAAGTGGATCCTGCCTTCATAAACTAAAAAGCAAGTCAAATGGATGTGATTGTGTTTACAGCTGTGAATTCTCGCTTTTCGAGTACGCATCCTTTATAAAGTAGAGGCCAGCAGTTAATTTGCAAATAGGATCTGCTCCTTGGAAACTTCTGAGATTTATAGTTTTGGTTCTCTATGTCCATATGCAAACTCTTTGGGGAGATGGAGCTCAAAGCAAAGGACTGAAAGGACAGCCAACATTGTGGAGACAATGAAGGCCATAGAAACACCAGCAGAGACCCCGAGTCATGAATAATTAGAGCCATAGCGTCCTACAGTCATCTTAAGCTTTATTAGATATATTCCTCTTCAACTGATTGATTGTGAGATACCAAGGGGTGAGTCATTGCATGCTATTTTACTAGATAAAGTTCCCACAAGCTCCCTGAGAAATTGACCCGAGGGATTGACCTGTTGGTCAATTCCTCAGTAAATAACCTGAGGAATTTGCCAACAGGTTTATCTGGGGGCAGATATGTAATATTAAAATCCTCTGTCCCTGGCTGTAAAAATACAGTGAATTAATTCTGCCATCCCTGCATGACATTTCAGAGCTGTTGCTTGAAGCATCTGCTTCAGTTTACTTAATGATTGGGGTTGGTCCCCTGTGAAGTTATGACTCAGCCGGTGAAACTGTCAAATGAAAGAAATTGAGAAAAGTTTCAAAGAGAGAGAAATTAACAGAAGGTGCCATTTTTTTTCCCCTTAAGCAAGATCATCTCACTCCCTAAGCAAGAATGAAAAGATTTTGTTTTATTTTTAATTCAAGTGGGTGGATTATTTTTTAAAGAAAAATAAGGACTTATCAATTGGATAGATTTCATCCAAATCGTGATAGAAAGAATTTCAGATAGTAACAAATAGTATCAATGATAGAATCAGTTGGGAAGGGGGACCAGGGAGAATTCATGGATTGATCCATCTAATAACTAGGGTTTTATCCAGCATCAATAAAAGCTGGTAGAAAGCTTTTATTTTAATCTGCTTTGAATCTCCAGAATGTGGTTGGTGCTCAAATCTCTGGTCCTCTTTCAGCATGTGCATATAGACAATGCCCGTGCATTTTCTTCAAGACTATCTCCATATACTAAATTAATATTTTTCAAACTTGGCAACTCTAAGATGTTTGGATCTCAGTTCCAGGAATCCCTGCAGGGTATTCTTGGAGCTGAAGTCCACATATCTTAAACTTGCCAAATTTGAAAAAGATTGCCCTAAATCTTCTACCTATACTGTAGCTTTAGCCTCATGTATATTTACCTATAGGTAAGAACAGTGTGCTATTATGTTCCTTTTGGTTCTGTTTTGGTGAGATGACCTTCTCCTCTTCCTCCTCCTCTTTCTTCTCCTCCTCCTTCTTATCCTTATCATATCCTAGAATCTGAATTACTTCTAAATCTTTGCCAGAAATGAAAACAGAAGCCACCTCAGTTTACAGAATGTAACTGAATGTAAACGGAATGTAGTTATTATCATTCATTTTAATTTGACTCAAAACGAGGAGGAGGAGGAGGAGGAGGAGGAAGAGAAGGAGGAGGAGGAGGAGGAAGAGGAAGACTACTAAAGGTGCTTTCTTATAAGGCAACTGGACTTTGGAACTGTTGAAAGGACTGCGTTGTAGACTGAAGATAGATGATGTCGTATCCCTCCCCCTCTTTTGAGAGAAGGCTATTCAACTTTGATATAGAGGGCCTCATTGAACAGCCCTCTTTTAACAGAGGGGGAGGGATAGGACATCATCTATTTTCAGTCTACAACACAGTCCTTTCAGCAGTTCCAAGAAGGCTCCGCACCCATTTGCACCACTCGAGTGACCATGACGACACAGATAAGCCTCCAGGTGGCATCAACGACTCGCTAAAAAAATGCGAATGACTAGCTGTCTGCAAGGAGTATAAATCCTTCCATTCCCCACCATCTGGGCAGATCTGAAGAAGCTTTTTGGATGAGAAGCGAAACGTCTTCAAAGAGAAAAAAGAAAGTCTAGTTGCCTCATGAAAAAGCACCTTTAGGGCAACCATGACCTGGATGACAGAGAATCTCCACAGACAAGAAGAAGAAGAAGAAGAAGAAGAAGAAGAAGAAGAAGAAGAAGAAGAAGAAGAAGAAGAAGAAGAAGAAGAAGAAGAAGAAGAAGAAGAAGAAGCAGAAGAAGAAGAAGAAGAAGAAGAAGAAGAAGAAGAAGAAGAAGAAGAAGAAGAAGAAGAAGAAGAAGAAGAAGAAGAAGAAGAAGAAGAAGAAGAAGAAGAAGAAGTAGTAGAAGTAGAAGAAGCATTTCAAGGTCTAAAGGTCTTCCTCCAATCTGAGACTCTAGCTTGGAGTTTCAGTCGACAAAATGTGATGCGAATATCAAAAGTAACATCAAGGCAGGCTGCCATGTGCCAACAGAGCAGCTCTTCAAAGAGAAAAACAGTCCAAAACTCCACTAGTGGTGGTGTAGATCTTATCTAGAGATCAAACTGTTGGCTTGCTTATACAGAGACAGACAAACTGACCCACCAAAGTTTCAGAACTTTGTAGCTACCTTGGACCCATCTCAGTCCGTGGATTTGTCAGCTTTTTAAAACAAGCTTTCTGCATTAGGCCTAGGCTGTAATCTAAATATTTTATAATACACATGCTACCTCTGCTAATGCAAGCCTTGGCCAGAATCCACCCTTCCTGGCTGTATTCAAAGATCTTCCTCAGCTCAGCATGTTTCAAATTGTCTACAACTCTAATCATCTCCAGCTAGGAGGGAAACATGGAAGAGAAAATTAGGAAGAAGCACTTCTGGCTTTTGGTTATTAAGCAGAGCAAGAAAAATTGCTTTAATAACAATGTTCTTTGCTTTAATAATAATAATATGAATATCTCTTTCATTGCTTTTCTTTTTGCTTTGTTCTTCTCAATAACCAGTGTAGTGAAAAGGCAAAAGTTGCCACTTTTCACATTCATGGGTTGGACTGATAAAACACACTAAATCTTAGGTTTGGGCTAACGAAGAGTGATTCTTGCAATTATAGGCCATAACAGAATAACAGAGTTGGAAGGAATCTTGGAAATCTTCTAGTTCAAACCTCTGCTCAAGCAGGAAAACCCATACCATTTCAGACAAATGGTTGTCCAATCTCTTCTTTAAAAACTCCAGTATTGGAGCATTTACAGCTTCTGGAGGCACGTCATCCCACTGGTTGATGGCTATCACTGTCAAAAAAAAAAAAATCTCCTTAGTTCTAGGTTGGTTCTCTCCTTGATTAGTTTCCATCAAACTAATGTTAATTGTCCTGCCTTCGGGTCCTTTGGAAAATAGTTGACCCATGTTTCTTTGTGGTAGCCCTCAAAGAAACATGAGTGCTCAAAAAAATAATCCATATTATGGCTTAGAGGGGTGGTCTGCTTCATGCTCAAGTCAATGGTTGGGATTCCGGCAGCTGCAAAGTCTTCATTTTGAGTAGTTCTAGTGTGCTATGCACAACTAGTCATATTCTCCAGTAATTCCAGCAATTGTAAAATGAGAGGGTATTTTTCATTTAAGATGGAAGAAAATGTTATAGCCCTCATAATTTTATTAAAAGCCTTATTCTTCATGAATTCTGCTAATCCCCTTCTAATATTGTGCAGGTCTAAGGTGACCACCTCAACATGTAGAATCCCAGCATTTAAAAGAGTGCTGTGTGGTGTGCATATCCTGAATCTGTGGCCACGTGGCTTTTTTCTAATGCTATGTCTCCAAGGGATCCACCTTCTGAGTTGGAAAAAGGACGGCCCGTTTCTCTCCTCAGTTTTCTAAGCTATTTATGCCAGCACATCTCTTCACCTTTGGCCTCAGTGCTTCAATTCACCCTCATGTTCTCTGCAAGATCCCACTGTCTGGGTTCAATCCAGATCCTTGATCTGGTCAGCTAAAGACCTACAAGCTGCATTTACACCATTTGCTAAACATCTTGGCTGAGAAAGACTGTCATGCCAAATCTGCTCAAATATCATCTTCTGAAGCTTTATTGAGTGTCCTCTCCTGAACTTCTTCCATTTGACAGCTAACCTGCATCCTTTAGTATTTTGAAAGGCTGAGATTCTTTTTCTGTTTAGTTCTTCCTCTCACGATTTCTTTCCCATTTCATATCCTTAACAGAATAACAGAGTAGGGATGAACCTTGAGATCTTCTAGTCTACCCACCAACCCCGGCTCAAGCAGGAGACCCTTTAACATTTCAGACAAGTGGCTGTCCAGTCTCTTCTTAAAAGCCTCCAGTGATGGAGCACCCACAACTTCTGAAGGCAAGCCATTCCACTGGTTGATTGTTGCCACTGCCAGGAAATTTCTTGGTTCTAGGTTGCTTCTCTCTTTGTTCAGCTTCCACCCATTGTTCTTGTCTTACCTTCAGGTGCTTTGGAAAATAGGTTGATCCCCCTCTTCTTTGTGGCAGCCCCTCAAATAATTGAAAATATTTCTTTAAAGACCCACATCGTTTCCCACCCATCTCAAGACCCCAAATTCCACAAAAAGGGGGGTGGTTAACCGCAGCCACCAGGTATTCCAACCAAATGGGGAAAGAAAGCAGCTGGCCAACGATTGCAGCTCTTCCCATTAACATTGCATACTTACATTTCATTCTGTTTGAACATGTTTAAATAATAGATCATCTTAGCATAACTAACAGAGCGGCTTTATAAAAGCACAAGACGTCTCTGCAAGCAAGAATGCCAAACTCATAAAAAAAGGATTTCTGCAAATCTTGTTTAGACCCAGTTTGAAGCCAATAATGTGGTGGGCATTCAGCATAGAAGCAGGGAGGGCAAAAGAAAAAAAAACAACCCTTTCAAAAGCTTTAGGTTGGAAATGGCTTTTGTATTTTAGTCGCTGCCACAAATGGCTTTGCTACACAACTCTCCAGAAAGGCTATACTTGCCTCGCTCAGTTCCCACTGTGCAGCTTTGCTGAAGAAATAGGCATCCTGGAAACTCTCTCCTTTTAAAGTGACATTTCCTGGAATCTCAGACCAACCGGGAGAATGAAGACGTATACAAAAACCAAACTCTAGACATTAAATTAAAGATGGTGGAAAGCATCCTGTATGCTGTTGCCTCCTGTTTAAACACAGAGCACAGAATCCCAGGCCTGGAAGGGACCTTGGAGGTCTTCTAGTCCATTTCCCTGCTCAAGGTAGGAGACCTTATGTCATCCAAGTCAAATGGCTGTTGAATCTATTTTTTATAACCTCTGTGATGGAGCATCCACAACTTCTAAAGGCAAGCCATTCCACTGATTAATTGTTCTCACTGTCAGAAAATGTCTCCTTAGTTCTAGGGTTCTCTGCTTGGTTAATTTCCATCCATTGCTTCTTGTCCTGCCTTCAGCCACTTTGGAGAATAGCTTGATTCCCTCTTTTTTAGGGCAGCCCCTGAGATATTGGAACACTGCTATCATATTAGCCCTAGTCCTTCTTTTCATTAAACTAGACAGACCCAATTCCAGCAGCCGTTCTTCATCTGTTTTAGCCTCCAGTCCCCTAATCATCTTTGTTGCTCTTCTCTGCACTCTTTCTAGAGTCTCAACATCTTTTTTACATCATGGTGACCAAGGTAGGTAGCTGCAAGTTGTTATTTTCAATCTCCCACAATCTCCTGGTAGAGAAAGATCCAGAGCATTCTGAAAAGCGATACCATGGCAAGGATTGAGTGTGAAATTTAAAAAAAAAAAAAAAAAATCTGTTCTGGTAAATTCAGAACAAGAGCCAGAGGGCCTTACTAAAGACTTTACAGCTGCCAGAGGGCAGAAATGCTGAAGCTAGTTATAAAAAGGCATATCTGATGTCAAGACCGTTTATTACTTATGGGCTCAGCTACCTCTATCCTCCCCAAAGTAAAATTAAACCGAAGCAAAAGCCAAACGTCTCTCATGAGCACATCTAGAAACAAGATATGCCTTCTGACAGGATCACTTTTCACAATAATCTTTTTATTATTATTATTATTATTCCCTCTTGGCACCCTGCTGAAAGTGATCAAATGTTGAAGCACTGCTTTGTGATCCTTTTCTGGAAAACTGGCAGTTGTTTGCTGCCAACAATGCAATTTGTATTGGTGCTAACACTCTATTTAACTTGTAAACATAGTCCTTTTAAAAACAAACGAGTCCTTTTTGCATACAAGGTGTAGGAACATATAGAGTCGTGATGGCGAACCCATGGCACACATGCCAGAGGCGACACTCAGAGCCCTCTCTGTGGGCACGCACGCTGTCACCCCACTCCTAGGCCTTCAGCTGGGTTTTATAAAATCTTTTCGCTCTAAGCCTCCGCCGCTGTGTGCAAAAAAAAAAAAGTTCAATCAATCAATCAATTTCAACTTCTCGCGGGGAAAAAAAAGATCTTGCAAAATTGGAATTGATTGATTGAACTTTTTAGTCCCACCCAGTCTGCCATTACCACTGAAGCCACACCCACCCAATGGGACATGCCCACCCAGCACCCGACGATACATAAATGGATTTTGGGTTGCAATTTGGGCACTTGGTCTCTAAAAGGTTCGCCATCACTGGCGAAGATGCTATTATATCTGCTAAGAAAACAGATCTTAGATTTTGAGATTAGATGGAGACCAAATGTCCCATTAATTTCTCTCTCTCTCTCTCTCTCTCTCACCTTCCAGGTGCAAGTGGGAAGTACACCTCAGGACCAAAGAATTGTGGGATACATTTCCTGCACCCACTTGCAAGCTCTGGCAGGTAAGTATGGAATTGTTCTTCCGATCATCCTGATGGGGTATGGGAAAGTTTCTATGGTTTTGACTTCATCTGCAGAGAACAGGCTGGATCATTCTCCTTAGATGATCTCCTGAAAAACCACACATTTTGAAAATAAAAATGTTGCATGCAGGATTAGACTAAGGTTCAATACTCTGTGAAACAAAGAGACCAAGCTAGGCGGTGGCAGCCAGCCAGCCTTGCCTAGTCTTGGAAAGCTAAGCCAAATTCTTCTCCATTTAAATACCTTTCAAAACCAGATTCTGTTTCATGGAACTGAGGAGGACAGATAGAAGTATCGCGGGATAATTTCTCTGCATGCCATTAACATATATTCAGTTTGCTTTAACAATGTAGAGCAATATAAAAATGAGATGGAAGAACATAGAATATCAGAACTGGAAGGGACCTTCGAGGTCATCTAGTCCAACCCCCTGCTCAAGCAGGAGACCCTATACAGTTTCAGACAAATAGCTGTCCAGTCTCTTCTTGAAAGCCTCCAGTGATGGGGCACGCACAACGTCTGAAGGCAAGCTGTTCCACTGGTTTATTGTTCTTGCTGTCAGGAAATTTCTCCTTGATTCTAGGTTGCTTCTCTCCTTGGTTAGTTTCCATCAATTGTTTCTCATCTTGCCTTTTAGTGCTTTGGGGAAGATACCTGATGGATGGGCATATGCACAAATGGCAAGAGATATGAATAAAGGAATCCAGAGAGCCTCGTGAATTTATAATATGGCTTGTCTTTCTTCAATGGCTTTGCAAATTAGTCTTCCAGGTCTAGCACGGCTGATCCTAACATATGCAACTTGATCTAAAGCAAGTTCCATCTTTCAAATAATGATGTATTTCCTAAACATCATGTAATAAACCATTACTGGCTTCTCTTTCTGGTACATATAAATCTTTTCCAACTCTCACGTGAATCTTCAGAAAAAGATACCTGTTGAAAATCAACTTGTGAGTCTGATTGGGTGAAAAATAATTATATTTAATTATTTCTTGGTTGCATAAAAGTACTCAGAAGGAGCTTTGCGTGCCTTTTGTGCTTAACCAGTCCTATTTCAATAAATAGTTGCCTTTTTTTTTTACCCATAGGAATGCAAGATAATCTAAATATTATATAACTCTTATCTCAAAATAAACCATATGTCATCTGGTAATGCTTTGGGATTAAGTTATATATTCAAAGTTTCTTTTAAAAATGAAAACATCCAAATTAATGATAGTTGGGGGCAAATCACTTGATAGAACAAGTGCCTTTTTAGTAGATATATCCAGATTCTTGGCATTTCAACATTTAACATAAACAGTTGCCAAAAGTTTAAGAGTATGTCCTGTTCTGAATAAATTGCTACAAATAGTACTGGAGATAACAAAGTAAAGAATTGTTTTTAATGAAGGAAAGAAAACCTAGCATAAAGTAGAGATAAAGAAAATTTGGGCTATCACATTTGACCCATAAAATTTTGGAAAATCATTGGATTGATTGACTGAGTGATGGATTAATTGATTGTATGCCATCAAGTCATTTTCAACGTTTAAGCAACCATACTGTATGTATATTCCCCATGATGATCTGGTCCTTCAGCAATTCCAAAGATGGATTTATTACTTGTAACCTGGTCCATTCACCTTGCTGTTGGCCGTTCTCTGCAGGTTATGCATGTGAAAACTTCATCAGTGGGTTCCTATTAGGTGTTGTGTCATAGCTAATTGATAAAACATGCAAAAACTAGACTCCTGCAGTAACAGAATAACAGAGCTGGAAGGGATCTTGGAGGTCTTTTAGTCCAACCTCCTGCTCAAGCAGGAGACCCTATACTGTTTCAGACAAAGGGTTGTCCAATCTTTTGTTAAAAACCTCCAGTGTTGGAGCACCCACAACCTCTGGAAGCAAGTTGTTCCACTGATTAATTGTTCTCACTGTCAGGAAATTTCTCTTTAGTTCTGGGTTAGTTCTCTGCTTGATTAGTTTCCACCCATTGCTTCTTGTCCTACCTTTAGGTGCTTTGGAAAATAGGTTGACCCCTTCTTCTTTGTGGCAGCCCCTCAAATATTGGAGCACTGCTGTCATGTCACCCATAATCTTTCTTTTTACTAGACTAGACATACCCAATTCCTGCAACCGTTCTTCATATGTTTTAGCCTCCAGTCCCCTAATCATCTTTGTTGCTCTTCTCTGCACTCTTTCTAGAATCTCAACATCTTTTTTTACATTGTGGCATCCAAAACTGGATACAATATTCCAAGCGTGGTCTTATCAAAGCATTATCAAGAGGCATCAACACTTCACATGATCTTGATTCTATCCCTCTATTAATGCAGCCTAGAACTGTGCTGGCTTTTTTGGCAGCTGTAACTTAGACCAGACTAAAATGGAGTCAGGTAATTTGTACCACTAGACATACTGTTTAATCCATGAACTACAGTTTCTCATACTGGTTTGTCTTGGTAACTTTTCTTGGTGATGTCAGGTGTCTTGTCAAACAACATATTAACTTATAATATAGTTAGACTAATCTTGGCCTGGGCTGTTACATGACTGCAGTCGTGGTGGAGCATAAGATTTTGTGGACCCAGTCAAGAGTATTATTTAGTAAACCATGCTGTAGCCAACTGGGGATTAGCATGCTCTGTGAATGCAGCCAGTGTTGATTGTCTCAATTTGCTGAGAGTTTTTAAATCTATATATCCTTGACAGCTCTTACAATTAAAAGCATCTATATTAGGGGTATCCAGCTTTGGTAACCTTAAGATCTGGTGACTTCAACTCCCCAAATTCCTCAGCCAACCTATATATATTATAGGTTATTATAGGTTAGTAAGGTTGTTTGATAAGACACCTGACTAAGCACCAAGAAAGGTTACCAGAATAAGCCAGAATGAGAAATTGCAGTTCATGGATGAAACTCTATGTCTGGTGACTCCATTTTAGTCTGATCTAAGCTACTTCAGGAGTCTAGTTTTTGCATGCTTTATCAATAAGCTATGACACAGTACCTAATAGAAAGCTACTGGTTAAGTTTTCACATCCATAACTTGCAGAGGAGAAGAGAATGGCCAGCAGGAATTTTGGGAGTTGAAGTCCACAGGTCTTAAAGTTACCAGAGTTGGACACACACACACCCCGATCTCAGTTTTTCTCACCTAAAAATGCCTGATGGATCTTGAGCAGCACTCAACAAGAGAAAGTTCAGCAAAAAAGCTAATAAAAATATACCGTGCATGTAGTGTGCTTGTATGATGTTATTGGCAATTTCAAAGGAAGCCTTCCAACCAACAGCGTATTATCTTGGAATGATGGATGAGTCAAAGGAGTCAGGCAAGGACATTTACAGCAAGTGCCTCTGACTGGCTGGCCGGCAATAAATCAAACTCTACAAAGTAAGGACGAGCTCCATAATGATGCAAACCAGGCTGAGCGTGGAGACCTTGAAAGGTCACCATTTGCCTGACTAGACAAATACACCCTTGCACTGCATCTGTCACCTGGAAAGCCACGGGTGTCAAGAGCCCATGTTCAGTTTGCATTTTGCACCAAAGGGTGTTCCCCCCCCCCCCCGCCACCACCTGGTTAGATTGGACAGAAGAGTGTTTTGCCTTAAGCAGTTCGCCAATCCCTCTTTCATTGTCCCTTTTGCAGACATAATAGCAGTCATTCTAACACAGGCAGCCCTCAATTCCAGATTACAGCTGAGCCCAATATTTCTATCGCAAAGTAAGCAGTTGTTATGCAAATTTTGACCCATGTTATGACCTTTTTTGCCGCAGTTATTAAGTGATTCACTGCAGTTAAGTGACTCATAAGATTGTTAAGGCAATCTGGCCTTCCCCCATTGACTCCCCCCACCATGGTCTAGAGAAAAGAAGAACTAGGGGTGACATGATATCAGCATTCTTGTATTTGAGGGGCTGCCACAAAACAGAGAAGGTCCACCTATTCTCCAAAGCACCAGAAGGCAAGACAAGAAACATGGTTGGAAACTGACCAAAGAGAGAAGCAACCTGGAATTAAGGAGAAACTTCCTAACAGTGAGAACAATTAACCAGTGGAACAGGAATTGCCTTCAGAAGTTGTGGGTGCTCCATCAACTGGAGGCTTTTAAGAAGAAACTGGAGAGCCACTTGTCTGAAATGGTATAGGATCTCCAGCTTGAGCAGGGGATTGGACTAGAAGACCTCCAAGGTCCATTCCAGCTCTCCTTGAAGTTCACTAACTCTTACCTGGTGCTATTTTGTTTTGACTGTCACTAGTTCTGTCACTAGTTCTGCCTAGTCTGAGGGGAAGAGCATCTGGGAAATTCTGACGAGGAGAATTGGAGCAGCTTTGAGCCAAACTACAACATGCCCCACATTTTGGATATTCTTCTGGCCACTTGTCGCCATGTGTAGACAGGGACACAAGCAATTTCTGGAGATCAGCCATGTCCTCTTGGCAATAGTATTAAAAAATGCCAGAGTCAACATTAAGAGTAGAAGACAGGAGAGGCAAATCCAATCGGCTTCCAAGTTATTTTAATTTGGATAGAATTGAGTGTTCCTTGAAGCCTGCAGCCATTGTTTAGTCAATATATTAGATCCATATTATAAAAGAGCACATAAAAATAATTATTCCGTGGTAGTTCTATCTGGGGAATACACTAGAGGAAAAATCTACATTGTCAGAGATTTTGCTCTTGGTTCTGGGAAGGTTGACTCCATAGAACAGGGGTCCCCAACTCCAAGGCTGTGACCCGGTACTGGATTATGGCCCATTCGGAACCGGGTTGCACACGTGGTGGGCAAGCGCAGGAAGACCAACAGAGTCCCAATAGCATCAAGGATGCATGTAAGGTCTTGTCCCAGAGTAATAACCTCCCATTCCTGAATTTTGAAAAAAAAAATTGCCACAGCATCTCCTTATCACCCAGTTTCTCTGCTTAAAGTTGGTGGCTCCTTTTTTCTACTTGCAGTTGAACCCCTGCTGAACATTATTTCAGATACAAGATTTTTAGAAGACCTATCCTGGCGATACTAGCAATTGCAGCTGGGGCCTCTTATATGCAAATCTCCTGTTTGAAGCAATGCACAGCTCTCCGATGAATATTTAATCACCTTTAGTCTTTGATTTTCTCTGTAATTGGCTCTCTGGTTCTTGTTCCAGTCCCACTTATTCATATTTAGATTTCTCCAGGTGCCCATCTAAAATTTATACTCGTTTGCTTTGTGATCAAAGGTCAGCTAGGGATGCCTGGATAGTTTTTCTTTCCTTTTTTTTTTTTTTTTGCAGATGCCGGTTCATTATTTTATTTTATTTTTTTTGAAAGAGGCACTTGTTATTACTGCTTTTGCCTTTAAATAATCTTTAAATATCCGTAGCCAAGGAAAAGCAGCTTTTCAAATTTCAGGCAGGAATGTTCTTCCATACAATGAGAGCTGCATTTGCGACTCTTTGTTTCATCTCACTGAACAGCAACAGCCTACCCGCAGTGGAAAATCAGAACCTAGAGCTAATTAATATCTGCTGCTATCTGAGCCATTTAACTTGTCGTAGGAAAATATACATACATATATATATATATATATATATATATATATATATATATGCTGGAAAATTTGCATAAAAATACGACTCCTGGGCATGTCTATGGTACAAATAAAATACGAACACCAGGAAAGTATAAATATAAAAATATACTTTACTAAAAGCTGCCAAGCTTTCGTTTGGAAACTCCAAACATCATCAGGGCTAAGGAGCCAGTAAACAATGATGACTTAAATGGGTTTTGCCGGCATCTGCACCCGGCTCATGGACCGCGTCACCGGTCCCGGACGGTTAATTAGTGTTCCAGATGTTTCTTCTGTGAGCCCAGGGAAGCTTGTAACACTGATAGAGGAGAAACAGATGCCCCCAGGGTGGAGAATGAAAACAAAAAGGGGAGGAGGGTCAGTGCTATGGAAGGAAATAAGGATAAAGGGGTGGTGGAGGAGATGAATACCAGTAATGAGATAGTGGAAGGAATGATCCGGAAGAACCATAGAAGGAAGCGTAAGGAGAGTAATAAAGAAACATCTGGAACACTAATTAACCGGCCGGGACCGGTGACGCGGTCCATGAGCCGGGTGCAGATGCCGGCAAAACCCATTTAAGTCATCATTGTTTACTGGCTCCTTAGCCCTGATGATGTTTGGAGTTTCCAAACGAAAGCTTGGCAGCTTTTAGTAAAGTATATTTTTATATTTATACTCTCCTGGTGTTCGTATTTTATTTGTACCATATATATATATATATACATACATTTTTTTGGATTGCTAACAAAGAATAGGGGAGGATGGAATAGCTATTTCAAGCTTCTTAGCTCTCTTCAGCCAAACATACCCTTCTGAGATTATATATTCTCCAGCGTCTTGGTTAAATGGTGGAGCTGGAGTCAGAAAGAGGTTTCAGCATGGACCTTGCGGCTTAAGAATGCTAAAAATGTTGTCCATTATCCTCGCCATACTTTCAAAACAGCCATTATTCAAGTATGGTTGGGAATTATGTATATAAATATTTTGTCCGAAAAAGAAACAAGTTTTTTAAGAGTATCATTCGGGTAAGTCTTAACCAATTGGTCATGACGTTGTATATGACGGGGGCAAACCTGGGTCGCTTGAGACCATCCATGAGTTTGGATCAAGTGTTTGCAGGAAATGGATAGTCTGTATACTACTAAACAACATTATATGCAATATTTAGGTTCTGGAATTTGGTTAACGTTCCACATTTAACCATTGTGCCCAGATGCTGAAATGGTAACCAAAGTCACCTTGTAGAGGATGGGCAGCATAGAAATGTAATAAACAAACAAACAAACAAATAACCTTTTTAATTGAAAAATAATGATTACATTTGAATGGCTTGCTTTGTCCTTTTTTTTTTTTTTTACAGAGGACACAACTGTTCGATGTGAACAGCTGGATCTGCTTCAGGATTGGCTGGCTGATTTCAGAAAATCTACCTCCTCTTCCAGTACAGCCAATCCAGAGGAGCTGGTGGCATTTGATGTGGTCTGTGGTGACCTGAACTTTGACAATTGTTCGTCAGGTGAGGGTTTTTTTTTAAATCTAGAACTCAAAACAACTGATGCACCCAGAACCCCAGGGAGCATTGGATGTGACCCCTTTAGATGTTTCCATGGAGTTGTAATTTTTAATGTAACAGATGAGGAAACATTTTAAAGGCATGTTGGCATTTTCCTCAGAATCTTGGTTTGTGGGTTAAATGAAACTAAAATGGTCCATTCCAGGAAAGCCAAAAAGCCAAAGGTGTCTTACTACTTGTCAACAGTGGGGCATTCTTAGAACATTGAATAATAGGGCTGAAAGGGATCTTGGAGATCTTCTAGTCCAATTCCCTGCCCAAGGCAGGAGACCTTGTACTACTCTGGAGAAAGGACTATCCAGCCTCTTCTTAAAACCCTCCAGTGATGGGACCATCCACAACTTCCAGAGGTGAGCCATTCCACTGATTAACTGTTCTCGCTGTCAGAAAATTTTTCCTTAGCTCTAGGTTGGATCTCTCCTCGCTAATCTTCCATCCATTACTCTAGCCTGCCCTCTGTTAAAAACTAAATCTAGTTCTTTGAAGAACTAGATGTCCACCTAGGACAATGTAACAATTGAACTCAACAACATCCAAGGTTCTGCATAGTTCATTTGTTATGAAGTCCTTCCAATAAGTCCTCTGAAACTTCTTTACCTGCCCTCAGGTGCTCTTGTTTTACCCCATCCCAGGACACAGGAGAATTCCCTCTTCCCTATGTCCAAGACCACTAACTCTATCATTTATAACACAGGGGACATGTAGCTGTAAGAGGTTCCATTTTCCTGCCCTACTTATTGATACCTGCAGTCAATTAGATCTCCCCCCCCCCCGATAAAAAATATGTCCAAAATACAAGTCCTTTTTAGACAATCCAATTGGCATTACCTTCAATGCATGAGTATATTTTTAGCTTCAGGCGAAATTGGTTATGCCCCCCCTCCCTTTTTTTCCTCCATTGCTAAAGCCTCCCATTTATGAATTGTGTTGCCTTGACAGTAGACAATGATTAATGACATCATTAGCACTTCTGGAAGGCCTACTTCTGAGATTCCCTTGAGAGAAACCAAGGAAACACAACAGTCCCCACCAAGGAAAAATTATTAGGAGGTGCTGTTAGATACCTGCATTTGCTCAGGGTTAAGTGGACGGTAAATGAGAATTTAATGTTTTATGGTACCAGGCAAGGCTCTGCAAAGTTAAATTGGACTCAATCCCTTCCCCTATCCTGCAAAACAATAAATCAAAATATTGACTCATTGCAATTGCTGAAAGGGCTTTCTTTCCTCTCTCTTCTATGATAAAGCCTGTCTTGTATACACACTCAGTCTTGGAGGTCTAATAATAATTGTAATAATTTATTAAACTTGTACACTGCCCAGCTCTTAATAACTCCGTGTGGCTCATAGTTATCCAAGAAAGAAATGATCATTAAATCTATAAAACATAAAAAGATAAAGATTAAAAAAAATGGGCAGTATGATAAAGTGTGGGTTCATAAAGGCTTAGGTGAAAAGTTACATACTGTACACACATCCATTCCATTTTCTGGGTTAAATTAACACGCAAGACTAAACAATCAGTTTAATTCAAACACAATCGTTAAAAAGCATTTAAAAACTGGAATAACAAAAAAAGCAGGGGGCAGCCATTGGTCTTGTCTTTTTATCCTCCTTGATGAATTCTTACAGGATTATTTATAGTCCATCAGCTGGAATAGCTGTGAATACAAAATTCACCAATCCTCGCTTTCTAAATCACTTTGGAATACAATAAATTTATGAGCTGAAAAGAGGTCTTTGGAAAACAGTAGGTCAAAAAAAAAGAAGACTTGTTTTTGAGTTAACCTGTTTTACAATTACAGAGAGTAAAATAAAGAGGAAAATAATACTTTAACAAAAACCAAAATAACAGCAAAAGTCTTAATCAAGATTTTGACAAACAAAATTATGAAAGGGTAAAGGGGACAGCATTAATTCAAACATGCTTCAGATAAACACATGCCCATCATCCAACAAAAACTAAAAAAAAATAACATAAACATATATTAAGCATAAAAATAGTGATTAAAAATGATTAATTAATTAAAACAAAAAAACCCAAATAAACTCAAAAGACTCAGAATCAAGAGAGAGCTTGAAGGGATCTTAGAGGTCTTCTAGTCCAGCCCCCCCGTTCAAGCAGGAGTCCCACTCGGTCTTTTCCTGCTGTAAGTTTTCTTTGTTTTGAAGCCCTTCTGTTTTGTGCCCAATGTACCTTAAACCTCCACCTTTTTCTGGAATTTTGTCATAAATGTTGGCTCCACTACTACCTCTCTCCCATGACTTTCTCTGACACGTTAGGGATCTCCTTCATTGTCTTCCTTCTGGTTGCAGATGACAAGCTGGAACAGCAGCACTCTTTGTTCATCCGCTACAAGGACCCGTGCCGCCAAGGTCCAGGGGAGGACAAATCGTGGGCAATTGGTAAGATGGAAAGCTGTGGTCCAGAAGTGGGACAGGTGTCCCTTAGCTAGGAGGAGGAACCTGCTTAAAGAGCCCAGATCTCCCATTTTTGCTAGCTTGTGCTTTGGTTTTAGTCAAGGTAAGTAAATTGCCAACTATAAACAACTGGTACCAACCACATCTAGGTGATCAGGAGACCGAAGAGCAAATTAAAAGGTCACCAGTTACAGGCACCATGAAGCCTGTGGGAGAAAGTGTCATGAAGACCAGACTCTACTTTTAAAGATACCAGTAAAGACACTGCCTTCCCAATAGATACCAAATTAAGGATATGGTCAATCCATTGGCTAGGATTTGCACAACATGTTTAGCCTGAAACCTGGATTAACAATCATAATTGCAAGGTACAGTGTTCTCCCCTCAATAAAGCATAAGAAGACTTTGCATGATAGCGTGCTTCACACAACATATTAAGTCAATTACTACATGTCCACAAAAAATTACTCTGTCAGACAAGACATCCATCCATCTATTTGGAATGGAGCATTATTGCCCAATGTGATATCCATCCATCCATCCATCCATCTGGAATGGAACATTATGCCCCAATATTATAACCATCCATCCATCCATCTATCCATCATCTGGAATGGAGCATTATGCCCCACCATTACTGTATATCCATCCATCCATCCATCTGGAATGGAGAATTATTCCTCAACAGGATGTTCTCTTACTTAGACTATAATTTCCCAGAATTTTGAGCCAACAGTTGTGGGCTTTATCTGGGGACACAGGATTGGGAAAGGTCAAGAAGTCCAAATAGTTTAAAATACAGACACAATTTTTTTTCAAACTTTTATGGTCCCTTTGCTTTGGAATAATAGTAGACTACTGCATTTATATTTCTTTTTCTCTCAGGAACCTTGTTAGATCCGAAAGGACTATATGACGAAGAAGTGTGCACTCCAGATAACTTACAGAAGTACGTATTATTTTGCTTTTCCATCTTATTTCTATCACCAGTATGAATGGGCTGCTCCAACTTAAACACTTCAGTTGTTGATATTTTACTTGTGTCTCACGGATACTTTTATTGGCTTATTTTTGAATGTTATATATTTACTTTGTATGATGGGACTTAAGTCCCACACGACGAAAAAAGGAGACACAAATTAAAGCAATAAATTCTTAGAATGTGCTACTTATTCAAAAGTCTTACAATATAAGCCAAACGAAGAGGACCAAAGGTGAAAATTGTAGGACTGAGTAAAAAGATCAGGCCTTTGTAATGGCTGTCCATTACAGAACAGGATGTTGAGTCTCTCTCCTGGGGTCGGTGGGAAGCATTAACAGCTGGCTTGACACCAGATCCTGGGAGAGAGGAGAAATCCAAAATTCCCACCAATGGGAAAACAGACCTTGCACTACATCTACGGAGCTAGAGCATCTTTGCATTCACATTGTAATACTTCGAATGAATTCAGAGTAGACTCAGAAATAAGTCAACTCTGCAAAAAAATATATATAATTGCATGCACAAAATTAGGTCCACATCTGGCGGGCACAAAAGAATGGGTATGTTGCCCTTAGTCATTCAGAATCTTAGTTCAGCCTTATTTTGAAAACCTTTAGTAACTGACATATTAGCTTTCAACCCTGACATTTTATCATCATTAAAATGCACAAACAGAGAGAAATAATTGGCTAATGTCATGGGCCAACTAGATTAGGCTTAAAACAGACCCATATGGACATTGTTCAATAAAAAATTTTTGGCAAAGGCATAAAACCCTAATTTATCACCCAGTTAATACTGGCACTGCTACATCTGGAAACAGCACCGTAAATTAGAGTTGTGTTAGCCCTCCAACGCTAACCTAACAAAACCTATTAATAAATTTAAGGAGGCCGCAGTTTTAAAGACATCACTGAGAATCATCTAGAATTCTAGATCTACTTCTTTAGGAAAAAAGGATCAATAAATATCATTGCTTCTGGAGTACGCGCCTCTATCATTGCTTTAACAATTAAGGAAGTCTTTGACGACGTTTAGGTCCATCAGAGTCTGCTAAAAGCCGTGTGATGACACCAGGATGGCAGCACATGTGTTGGGAAGTCATTACATGTTACCTAATTGCATCCTTTGCACAATGAACGTATGACACACGTGTAAGGGGAAGCGATTTGCTTTATGAGCAAAACTGCGGTGGGTGAGACTGAGCTGGAACTGACCTGCTCTAAAATTTCCCCTGTCTTTGCAAAAAAACAGGACGATGGAAAGCGAAGACGGACGAAAAGCCTTCCTCGTGTTTCCCACCAGTAAGAGCCAGGCCTCAAGTCAGAAGGGAAGGAAGGGGGCTCTGAAAGGCAACGGGAGAAGGATTGACTACCTGCTTTACAGCAAGGAAGGACTCTACCTGGAGTGGAAAACAGTAAGCTATTTTTAATGAAATTGAAAGCTAAAATTTCAGGTCGCCTGTAAGGAAAAGGGCTTCATGACACAAGTCACTTCCTACCAGGAATACCAAGTAAGAGATTTGCATTCTAATGGCTCAATAATATAACTGGGAGTGGGGGAAGGAAAGGAGAACATGATTTTTCCAAACTGAGGAGAAATTGCATGGTGTGCCCTGAATTCAAGGGAAGATCTAAATTTAATTATCTGCTAGGGTTTATTCTCCTGCAGAATAAACAAGAAGAAGAAGAATTGGAATCTGCGTAGAAGAGCAAATGTTGAGAAGAGTGAGACATTTAAATGTATGTGTATGTGTATATTTGTGTGTCTGTACGTGTGTGACTATATTGCTGTAAAACAGGCATATATAACATATTCTGAAGTCCAGAATCGGGGGACAAATATGAATGCAAACAGTTTCGGGAGCATCTAAATCAATATGCTTGTGAATTGCTCCTTTGGTAGAATGCCAGGCTTCAATAAATTCATGTGTGTGGCCGGTGTTGGCATGGCTCGTTTCTATTATTTCAAAACCTTTGACAGCTTGCAGCAGGGGTCTTCCAACCTGGCCCTTTGATAACTTGTGGACTTCAACTCCCAGAATTCCTCAGCCAGGCACATGCCTGGCTGAGGATTTCTGGGAGTTGAAGTCCACAAGTCATCAAAGGGCCAAGTTGGAAGACCCCTGGCTTGCAGCATCAATTTAAAAAAAAAATCGCCTCGTGTGTCAAATAATGATCAAGCTGATTTGTAAAAGGACGTTTCACTTTCAACCAGACGTCATGAAATGGCTCGTTGGACTCAACAGACGGGAGCCTCAGAGCCGGTGAAGTCCTACGCTTGCTCTTTCTAAAAAAAAAAAAAAAAACACCTTTCTTTTGTCGTCCCGTCTGCAGGAAGTAGAAGAATTCAGTTTTATCACCCAATTGGCAGGACTCACGGATCACCTGCCTGTCTCCATGCGGCTGATGGTTTCGACTGGAGAAGAAGATTCTTAAATAAGGGAGGGGGGGTCACTTTTTCCTCAAGAGCTTAGAAGAGGGAATTTCTAAACTTGTGGCCAAGATGCAAGAGGGGTCTTTTCTGGTGCCCCCCCCCCCATGCCTCTAAAACCCCTCAGGATGGACCAGGCTGGTTTCCAATTGATTTTTCTACATTCAAAACCCACTTGGAGGATGTTGAAAGAAGGAAACGTAGAGGCGTATGTGAACATATGTGGGGAACTGGACGAGATGAAGGTCAGCTCCATTGACAAGTGTCACAAGTTGCCCCCACCAACCAGACAGGCCTATATTTCTATACTCTCACTGTGGACGTAAAGAAACCAAGATAGAAGTCCCCGTTCCTTTGAATCAGTGCCATTCTTACTTAAGCTACGTACACCCACACCCGTACATGCGCCCACCCACATATATATCTATATATAGAGATAGAAATATATATAGGTATATACGGATATATAGCACAATTTAGTTTGTAATCGGTCTGTGTTTGTGCTGCTCCAGATGTGAGTTTTTGCTTTATTTCTTTAGATAATCTTAAAATGCTAACTTTCTTTTTCTCTTCCTTCCTCCCTCCCTCCCCCCCCCCTCTCTTTCTGTCAATTTTTTTTAGCCTTGTAAAGTTGTAGCAGCATGCCTGGATGGGAAGCATGCGTTCGCATTGCATGCCACTCACTTTGAAATGAAATGGTTGTAAAGGTGACCAGTGAGTTTGGAGGGTGGGGTGGGGGGAGATGCTACCACCCCAATGATGACTCAAACCAAAAGAAGCCAAGTTAAAAAAAAAAGCATTGTAGAGAGTGAACCCCTATTCAGGTTCACTGATGAACACTAAAAGGCAATCAGGTCAGTTCAGTATGGGGTCTTCAGACTTGGCCCTTTTATGACTTGTGGACTTCAAAGATGTAAAAATGTCCTGCCAGGGTGGTGTTGCCCTTGGTTTTTCCAAGGAGAAAACCACTTGGTTTTCAGGTTTCCAGTTTCTTGTTTTCCAGTTTCTCCAACACTGGCAGGACACTATGGGCGCTGTGTATGTAAACCCAGAGTACACCCAACAATCAGTAGCATTGATATTGATAGATTGGACTATAACCCTGATCGTTTCCAACCAGGACACTCAGAGGTCTTGCTGACACAGAATTATGGATGATATTAAATAGGGCAACACTGCTCCGCAGATTATATATAACATCATGAGCAGCACCTGTACCGAAGGTGTTACCGCTATTTACAAGTGATGAAGATCAAAGTTTATGTTACATTCATTCTACTTGTCCAGATGCTATTCAGCTGGAAGCCAGCATGCCCCCCAAAGGGTTTTCCAATGCAAAAATAGGCATAGTTCAATAAAAATGCCTTCCTATCAAGAATCACATATATTGGATGGCTCTAATACTAGCTACTGGTGCTTTGGGATACTCTTTCCCAACTAGTTGCCTTCCAGTTGCACTAGGCTAATGGTCATACTGGCTAGGAATTCTGGAAGTTATAGCCCAGTACATGTGAAGGACAGTCAGCTGGGGAAGGGAACCTTAGAAGAAAAGAAGGATCTGACAGGTAAAAGAATAACAGATTATCTGAGAAGCGATCCCTGCAGATCTTAAAATGTGATGTCCAAAGGCTGGGATTATGAGCAATCTTGATAGATCTCTGTGTCAATGGCACTGCATCCATAATTGTGGAAAACCTTTTACAAGGCAGCAAACGTGACTTCAAAAACACCAGTGCACCTGTCCCTTGAGAGACAGCCTATGCTAGTCCCAAAGGTGCATTTTCAAAAGGCAACTGGCCTTGGTTTGTCCTTAAGACGTTTTGCTTCTCATCCAAGAAGCATCTTCGGTTCCGAACTGAAGAAGCTATTTGGAGGAGAAGCGAAATCTCTTCAAGGAAAAAATAAAGGAAGTACCAGTTGCCTCTTGAAAAAAAAAACACTTTGGGGACAACCACGACCTGGCTGACTGAGAATCTCCATAAACATCTTCATAAAATCTTGCCTATGGGAAAAATAAGATGTGTCAGGACAAGTTCAGTCTCTGTAGTGGTTGAAAAAATGGTAGACTGCACATTTGAGAGGGGAGAAGGGAAGGCTTGAGGAGATCCCGACATATTTTTCTCCCCCTTCTTTTACCTTCCTTGCCTACTGTTTCTGCCATATATGACAATCACATGTGGGATCATGAGCCTGCTGGTGTCATTCAGGGAAGGCGGAGTTACTAGAATACAGCCATCCTACCAGTTCCTTCCCTTCTCTCTTATCCTGTCATTCATAAATAGGTCTCTCAGTGTGTGCCGTGTGTCTGTGTCCCAGATTTCCTGATTTGACACTCTTGTTCATGTACCAATTTGGCTCTCCTCTTGAATCTCAGCAAACCTAACCCCATTCAGCCTGGAGAAATTGAGAGACAAGAATGATGCTTGCTCATCACCTGGAATAGAGAAACTAAATAGACTAGAATAGGGGTGTCAAAATGCCAGCCTGTGGGCTGGATGTGTCACACAGAAGCCGCACCTACCCCAGCTCTGGCAAGGGGAAAATAGTCACGCTGTGTCAAGACATATCACGTGACGTGGCGAGTTTGACAACCCTGGACTAGAATGAGCTCTGCTGGACACCCAGCAACAAGAAGCGAGCAACTTAGACAATAGGAGACAAAACTTAGGAAGTCAACCATATAGGCCAAGGTTGCTTTTACATAGGCGAAGCAAAGTTTACTGCAGTAGCTCTTAGGCCCGTTAAAGCTAACATTTTGGCCTTTCTGGACATTGCTTCTTATTTTATTTTCTATCTTGCTGATATCTTACTGCTTTTTAAAAAAAAACAAAAACAAAAAAAATATATAAATTACAATGTGTGTTGTCCACAACCTCTATGTAGGATTGCTGCCACTAGTATTAATACTAAGACAAGATGCAGTATTTTAATAGCTTCCTTAACAGTGTACATGACTGTGGGACTTTATACACATTCTCTGAGTAGCTGAATGTACTGTATGGTAGACGGTATCGTGCCAAACAGTGCTACGTTTGTTACAGTTAAAAAGCTAAGCAAGAAAAGAAAACAAAATCTACCATCATCCATAGGTCTCATTTGGTTGCATCTGTGCATCTTAAAATTACAAGTGCATTTTTCCCCCCACCCTCAAGTTTAGATGAACTGAAACTCTTTTTACATTTGGAGGGGTATTGGTTTTGAAGTTTATAAGTCATGGATACTGTATTTCCCCTTTTTAATTGTACAAAACTAGCTAGTTGTAAAAAAAAAAGATGTTGATTACTTTTGGATTAGCCATAACTAATGTCGTTTGTTATCACTGAATAGTCTTGTGGGTCAGACTTTTGGAAAACATATAGACTTTTGGCTTTTTTAGTGTACTGACACCGTGCCTTCTGATGCCTTGAGATCCTATGGGAAAAAGTCCAAATCTTATTGGAGGGCAAATGGAAGGATATGCTTCTCGCTTCAAAGAATGGTGTTTGAGGAAGAAAGAGGACCAAAATAATACTAACAATAATCGTGGCGATCAGCTTCGTTCCCTGAATGGCAAGTCTGCATTCTGTGGTATGATCCACACAGCGTAGGCTCTGTGGGAACCAATTTTAATTTCTCTGAGGTGAAAGACAGCCAAGTTGGAAAGAAGTGGGCACCTAATTTTGGAGCGTTACTCTGCATAAATCCAGCAGTAGCCAACTCCACACTATGGGGGAAAGAAACAAAAAAGAAGCTGTTTCAAGTATCTTTGAAAAAGACCTTTGTTTCTCCTTGTTTGCTAGTCACTATGATGAAACTATGGTGAACAAGGAATGGGTTTTATTAAAATAATAATAATAATAATAATTCAACCACTCATCTCTGGAATATGGACAACTCAACCTGAATGTTTGATTGGTCAAATACATGGAGGCGATTGTCCCGATGAGTCCAATTGGGGGCTAATTAGTTGGGCTTTGCCCTACAGCAGACATGCTAGTTGGAGGACAATGGATAATCTGTAGCCCATTGCATTGTGCTGGGCATGGCCAACTTAGAGGAATCGCAACACGTTTTGCTCCATGTATAAGCAATCAATTCATACACAAAGTATTCTTTATTGAAGGAGACCCATTTGTATGAAGTGGAGTTTTGGTCTTCAAGATTCGTGAAGGGGGAACTTGATTCTTCCCCAGTTGCACTTGGCTTGACCTGTATCTGGTGAAGACAAAGCCCCTTTTGTAAGCCCCTCAATTACAAGTGGTTGTAAGGTTGACTTCCCCATTCCATGGGAAGGCTGGGGTAAAGAGCAAAGAAACCCATCTCACCTTGATAAACAGATTTTTGAGCATCTGAAGAAGGCTGTAATTTAATTATTATTGTTTCTGTATTTTGTATTGGGAATTGGTTACAAAGGACAAAACAGATTGTGGTATCTGGCACACTGCCCTCCTCTCCCAATTATTGCTTGTGATCTTTCTCACAAGAAAGGCATGAAATTCAGGAAAATGAAAATGTGGAAATTTGAAGAAATATCTTGTACTTTGGAATTGTTTCATTAAATTGATGCTATAGGTATAAGTCCCCCCCCCATTTATTTCTCATGGAAGCTGGAAATCAATCTGGCTTCAGCCTTGCAGATCCCATTGAAAATGGCATTTTTGAGTAAGCCCCATGAGATGTTTCTCAAACTCCAAGGAACTAAAACCCATCTTTATCCACAAAGCAGGAGGTCTTCAAACTTGGCCCTTTTATGACTTATGGACTTCAACTCCCAGAATTCCTCAGCCAATGTGCCTGGCTGAGGAACTGTGGAGCTGAAGTCCACAAGTCATAAAAAAAGCCAAGTTTGAAGACCCCTGACTCAAAGCCACTCTGAATGAATGAGAGCAAGGCTGTGTCATGATTGAATAATGTAATATGTAATCAAAGAGAGGAAAAACTCTACAACAGTGTTTCTCAATCTTGGTAACTTGAAGATGTCTGAACTTCAACTCCCAGAATTCCCCATGTTGAAATCCAGACATCCAGAAACACTGCTGTACAGCTATTGGAGATCATGTAGGATGGTGGAGCGTGTAGCCTATAAGCAGAGCTATGCTCTTCTCTTAAATATATATACATATAGATGTAGCACTGCTAGCAATTTCTGTTAAGGCAAAGTGCTAGTTAAAGTTGGCATCTAATGTCATCAAAGCCAACATTTCCAGCTGGGTTTGGTGTGTGGTCCTCAGGAGAAACATCTGGGCAAAGTTAAGGAATGAATAGGTTATGAAAGGGTAGAGCAAGTATCCCAACTTGAATTGCTAGAAAAGAGGCCACCCATCAAAGTCAGCTGAAGAGTTTGCATCACTCAAATTTTGTCATCCCCGATCCTCATCCGTCCTCTATGTCATTATCATTGGGAGTCTAGAGCTGGTGAAGGCTCCTTCCCCCAATTAAGATGTCCAGAGATCTAGGCGAGACTTGTGTATAAGGTGTGTCCCTTTGAGGTGAAGGGAGGCATGGAAAACTATCCTGTCTTTCCCATGGTAAAAAGGGCTTCCAAGAGAACATAAATGTTGGAGAGGGTGTTGGAGGTAACGGAATGACATACACTTCCTTTCCCTTTTGCTCACCTCATGGGCTACTAAATGAGAACAATCTGTCTCAAGTCTCAAAGATGCTTCTTCAAAAAGGCAACTGGACTGTTTTTTTTCCTTGAGGAAACTTCATCGGTTGTGATTGATCAGTAGAAATGAAAGGTCTTTTTCTTCCGCAAGGAAAAACAACAACCGTCCAGTTGCCTGGGACCTGGATGGCTGAGAATCTCCATAGACATTTAACCTGATCAAGTATTCAACAAGATCCTCCGTGACCCTCAGGCTGCAATCCTTGGGTAGGTATGTAGAAATAATCCTAAAGTAATTCACCAGGACGTACTTCTGAATTTCCTAGACATGTATAGGATTGCACTGTTGGGTAGCTGAATGGATGGACTATACAGTATAGCATATAAACCAGGGGTAGTCAACCTTGCCTCTTTTATGACTCGTGGACTTCAATTCCCAGAATTCCTGAGCTTAGCTGGCTCAGGAATTCTGGGAGTTGAAGTCCACGAGTCATAAAAGAGCCAAGGTTGACTACCCCTGATTAAACCTTCACCCATTACTGCATGCCTCCCAAAGGGACTCAAAGTCAAGTTTCTGCCTTAAGTTACTACTTTCTGGGACGCCTACATTTAGTTCCCACTAATGCTGTGTCCTAAAGCCAAGCTTTACCCTTCAGCATCCATGCCAGAGAAATCTGGTTCTTTTCCCAATGGCACTTTGCCCTGATCGATGCCCGTTGAAGACAATTGTTCAGTTAGAACAATTCATCAGTGGGACAGCTTGCCTCCAGAAGTGGTGACTGCTCCAAAACTGGAAGTTTTAAAGAAGAGATTGGACAGCCATTTGTCTGAAATGGCATAGGGTTTCCTGCCTGAGCAGGGGATTGGACTAGATGACCTCCAAGGTCCCTTCCAACTCTGTTATTCTATGACATTCTATGACAAAACTGTCTATCCATACGTTCAACTGAAGGGGTTGTCTTGATGATGTCCCTTCAGTATGGATTCCCTGGACTTTTGCAAGAAGGCAAGATGTTTGAAAACTAACAAATGAACCAATGATTCATTTCAAGGTACTTAAACGTATTGATATTTCTGCCCGTGAAGCGTTTTCTTGTTTCTTTTAATTAATTATTTCTCTCTTCTATTCAGGATTGAGGAATTGGCTTTTTTAAAAAAATGAAACAAGTATATGTTCCCTGTATTTCGATTTCTTTTTCAAACCCTTTTTTTTTTTCAGAACAGTAAGCTCCCTAAATCTATTCCATGCTGCAAGGTCAAGCAGGCTAAAATGTCCTGACCTCTCTCACTCACCCACTTCTCAATAGACTGTTAGAATGTGAAGGGCTGTCAAAATATCATAACAACAGTTGAAGGGATCTGGACTTTTTTCTCACAAAGGGTCAGCTGGGCAAAATGTCTCCTTGCTTAAAACACATGGGAATTGTGCCAAATGAGAGAACACTCAAATGCCTTTTTATGTCACCTGGCCCACACTGAGTCCTACCTTGGAAATCTCTGAAAGGAAGTCTAAGTGGTTGAATTTAAGAGCAGAAGAGTAACCAGTTGCAATACCTTTCATTTTGGAAAGGTATCACACGGAGACTTCTTTTGAAGAAAAGAGGTCGGAGTGTATCTCAGTTTCCTTTTATATGGAAGAGCCAGTCCTTAAATTAAGCCAGAAGTTCTGGGTGCTCCAAAACTTGAGGTTTTTAAGAAGAGATTGGACAACTATTTGTCTGAATTGGTATCAGGTTTTCCTGCTTGAACAGGGGGTTGGACTAGAAGACCTCCAAAGTCCCTTATTCTAAGGACAAACATCAAAGGGTGTCCTGGCCCTTATCTGTTCTTCCTGTCTTCCAAAATAATAATAATAATAATAAATCTGTGAATAAAATTATACTGCATGCCCAGCAACAGGGCATCAATTGCAAACTCTGATGGTAGGAAAGCACACAGCAGAATGACATTATGGTAAGGTTATGTAAGAGTGCTAGGCTCAAAAGGTGTGACGAGAAAGAGAGTGACAGAAGAGCATCGCTGTGCGTTTACGGCAATGACATAAATATACCCTTAGTTACGGGACCAAAAGATAAATTGACTCAGTTCAGATGTAACGAGCATAACTGAAAAGCAAGGATTTACCAGACTGAAAATCTACATCTAGCTACAGACTCTGGAGAGGCACTAGATGTTAAGAGTCATCTGGATTTTCCAGTCCTGACCATGTAACCTTATAAAAACAGCAACAACAAAAAAAAATGTTATCCATCCTCCTTGCACATACCTTAATGGTACATTGGCAGTGTTTGTTGGAGCCAGTCTTGGATTTGATTTACACTGGGAGACAGTCATTTAAGAACCGTTAGCTTGACTTGTAAATTTGGATCATGCTCATGCATTACAATTCTCCTTGCCATCAAATCTTAAATTACAGCTTGTTTTTCAGATGTAAACGGAACATTTGTTAACGGAACAACTTCGCGAAGGCGAGGGTGGCGTATTTTTCCTTCCCTTGAGCTACATTCATCTATGTTTTGGAGCTGTAAACATTCCCAAGTAAAAGCCATCTGTAAGGTTACAGAAAAGTGCACTTAATTCTTACTGCCTATTTTATGTCGTGTTTATTAAAATCCTAATTGGACAATATTTTTAACCCTGCGAGTTTCTATCGGCTAAGTGAAATAGCGCCACAATAGCAAAACTTCTAGATTTCTTGAAGTGTCTACATTTCTCCCCCCCCCCTTGAGTCTTAGCTGATTTGTAGAAAGAAAATTCTCCTTGTATCTCCCCCAAAGACTTTTAGTGCATATCCTACAAAATGGTTAATGGCAAGTAGTAAAATTTGAAGACTTTGTAGACTGTTGTAGGGGTGACAATTTTCCAGCAGGGCTGCGCTCTAGGTCTATGTTTGTATATATCCAGCAGGCTTAAAAGATGTACCCAGTATAAATTTATTCCTCATTGGCAAGTTGTCTGGATGTCAATTCTCCAAATTTTTAGCTCAACCCAGCCATGCCACTAAGGATTACAATGGGTCCACAAAACTAGGGGACACCAAGTCAGAGTGGGGTGCTTTGAGGCATGTGAGAGAATAAGAGAGGCTATGGCACAACTTTACCCTCATTGGCACAAAAGTGAACGATGGTTTATCAGACTGAGATTATCCTAGTCAAATTACCCAAACCTGTCTCTCAACTGAAGATCCTTCATAGCAAGTGATTTCTGGGGATTGAAGTCTGAAGAAGCTGTTTTAAAAGGAATCTCAGAAATGATACAATCTTTTAGGCAGTATTCTGGATTTAGAGAAATCAATACTAAGCAACAATCATGTTTTTGCAGATGTTTGCCGGTATCTTGTGTTTCAGTAAAACTTCTTCAGTGCAAAGTTTCAGAGGTGCTTCCCCATTATCAACTGATCCCAAAGATTTCAAATTCCACGAACCAAGGCAAATTCAAATTCCAAATTCCATACAGACTACGAATACTACAAGGCGATCCCAACTTCTGAATTGTCGCGTTGAGGAAATTTCTCTGTAAATGAAACTCAAAACATCTGCCAAAAAAAAAAAAAATGTGACCCCTACTTTGGTACTGATCTTCTCTAAGCCCAGAGAACTCCGACTAAAAGTATATGCAATACAAAAAACGTGAACGATTATTATCTCGAGAAATCCTCAGAGATTACCTAGACTAGCAGTGACTGGCCGCAATCCCTTCATACATCATCCTTCTTGAGGTAGCCCACATCCCAGAGCAGGCCAGTTTGGAGACAGTGACTATTTTATGCCCGAACATTACCCAGATTATCTGACTAACCATTGTTGGGGAGAGAAAAAAAAGCCTAATGAGATAGAGGAATTCTGAAGAAGGCAGAATTTAGAGATTATCTTTGTTTGACAATTCTACCACTTTTAGATGCTCTCCTAAGCTCGACTCCTCCTTCTCTTTCTCTTCAGCTACCTTAGAGATACACAATTTATTTTCATTAGACAAGGCAACCGTCTATCCTCTTGATCTGCCCCTCTTCATTAGGAAACAGAGGATGTCAGATCAACTCAATCTCTGTCGTGGCTTGAAACCTGTTCTTCAAGCTATGGTTGGTTGGGCCATGTTGATCTGGGCTTAGCCTGGCATTCATTCCAAGAAAGATGATCCATCTCCGTCCAGTTTAAAGTTTGAAGATACAACTGGTTTCCATTCAGGGAGGGAGAGAGGTTTTGTAGACTTCAAGCATGTAATATACAATGCCCACATTTACTATTCTCATTGATAACACAGATAAAATAAAAATTGGTATTACAGAAGTGGTCATATTCCTCCATCCATAACCTGCACATATTTTAACTATAAATCTTTGTCTTTTAAACTATTGTATTAATAGGTTTAGAAAGCCTAAAAAACTTTTTTTTTTATTTCAATGATTTTTTTTCTGTATTGTATCCTTCTGAAAAATTAATGTTTTTATATGGTAAGCACATACAAACCTTCTGGCATTTTGGTTATTATTAATATATTATATTATAGTATTATTATTATATCTATATTAAAGAAAGCCAAATGAAAAAAAAATGTTTCATCCATTTCTTTGCGTGTATTGAAATGAATGCAACTTGCAGATCTTCCAGTAATAGGAAGAAACAAGGAATTTGGCCATATTAATGATTTTATTACTTTTACAAAACATACAAATTGAAAACTAGCATAAGCTAACCATCAGAAACAAAGATAAAAACCTCCAGCGATGGAGCGCCCACAATTTCTGGGGGTAAGCTGTTCCACTGGTTAACTGTCTTCACTGTCAGGAAGTTGCTCCTTAATTCCAGATTGCTTCTCTCTTTGATCAGTTTCCAACCATTGTTTCTCGTTCTGCCCTCTGGTGCTTTGGAGAATAACATGACCCCCCCCCCTCTTCTTTGGGGCAGCCCCTCAAATACTGGAATACATAGCTATGGTAGTTTTTAAAAACCAAAAACCAAAAAGCTTATTCCCACTTCAAATCTATCATACATCAGCTTGAGAAGGCCAGCCTAGATTTACAAGATGGTATTTCAAGGAGAGATTTTCTGACTGTGAGAATAATTAATCAGTGGAATGGCTCACTTCTGGAGGTTGTGGGTGTTCCCTCACTGGAGTTTTTTAAGAAAAGATATGACTGGAATAGTATAGGGTCTCTTTCTTGAGAAGGGGGTTGGACGAGAAGATCTCCAAGGTCTTTTCCAATCTTATATTCTATATTCTTGATAGACCAACATGGCCAGCTCAGGAATTCTGGGACGTGAAGTCCACAGGTCATAAGGTTGTCATAGTTGCCCAGTCCTGCTCTTGAAGCCAGCACTGATGATTCAAAGGTTCAGGTCAAATGAAATAAAAAAAGGCAGAGGAATGATTCAATGACCTTTTTTTTGAGATGCATCCCACTGAGGCGGATTTATCTAACTTATGCTGGAATGAATCAGGATCAATCGCACCGCCAGCGTCAGAAGTCCACCGGGACCTTCTAAGACAGGTACTTCACCCCTCTTTTGAGGCTAATTGTTGCAGCAAAATCTCATTAAGAGGACATTTCTTTCTTTATAGATGAAAGTCTGGCTGCTCTGTGGTTTACCGACCGATCCCTGACCAAGTTAGTATAGATTCAGAAGTGCTGCAAGCGACCGAGACAGTTTGAGATTAATCGAATCTCCCGCAAGCTGGCAGGCAGACCATTTTGATCAATGGGAAAACAGCCACCCAAACCACCCTATTCCTGTATTTTTTTTTCACAGGGCGTGGATACCAAGGCCTGGAATTAGGTTGGCCCAATATCTACAACCCCAATTTTTTAAAACGAGGGAGAAATCAGTACAACTCTGGCTAATTGAACCAATAAAATAAAATAAATAAAATAAAATAAATTCTACTCTACTTTTAATGAGCTCACATGGGGCACCAGCCTCTTAAAAGTTTCTTTCAGTTATATTCACAATTATGGTTCTTGCATAATTGTTAAACGCTGGGTGGGAAATATTATGTGCATTCCTGATGGGGTGCCCACAGGGACACCTGTGAAAATCACAAAGGCGGGATGGAAGCCCTTTTAAAATGGATCGCGTGTAAGATTCAAATTCAGTTCCATCTTTTATTATAGTCACGGACCAGAATAAAAATTAAAACATTCAACTCCAACACTGGAAGTTTTTAAGAAGAGACTGGACAGCCATTTGTCCGAAATGGTGTAGGGTTTCCTGCCTGAACAGGGGGTTGGACTAGATGACCTCCAAGGTCCCTTCCAACTTTATTATTATTATTATTATAAACTAAAAGAGAGAGGGGAACAATTAATAATAGTGTCTGGTAAGGAATGGTGAAATTCCTTACAGGAATGGGGCCACAAGCATCGTCCTTTTTGTATGTTCCGGTGAGGTTGTCTATATATACAAGAGTCAAGGCTCCAGTTTGATGCCACATCAGTCTCTCTCTCTCTCTCTCTCACACACACACACACACACACACACACACACACACAGATGCTATTGAGTATACACCATAGATTGGCTCCAAATGAGTGCCCAGGGCAATATTAGCAGGAAGAGGGTGTATGCTGTAATTAGAAAAAAAAAATAGAACTTGAAATGGAATGAGCTAAATAATTCTATTCTATTTCTGGGTTTTCCCAATGGTCTTTTACCCAACTGCTATCCAGGACCAGGTCTTCTCAGCTTCTAAACCCAGAAAAAGATCACCCATATCCTGCTAAAGCCCTTTTTCATTAAAATAGCTAATACAGATGTCTTAAGCACTCTTTTCTGTTCCACTGAAATGGAATTTGATTTCCAGCAGAGATATACATGTTAAACCTTAGCTAGAATTCATTGCAGGAATTTGGAAGATAAGTGCATGTCTAGCCAAGGGACAAGGTCATACATTTGTGACTAGCCTGGGCAACATCTCTTGCTGTTTCCAAACAATGGGAAAAGACAACGGCACAATTCTGTTCCATTTTACCTAGTGCTCATGACTCATGGGAACATTGGCCTGGAAACTGTTTAGCAAGGCAGCACAAGACGTTTACCAATTTCTTGGAAACACATTTTATTTCAAAGTATTGGTTTTGATGTATGGAGCCCGACATGCAATCTTCGCTATCTTTGCTCAGTATGTCCTAAGGAGTTCAACACGGTGTACTCTTTAAAGTGAATATTGGATAGTACTCTTCTGAAATATCATCCCATTTGTTTTGTCATTTAGGAACAAGGTGTTTTTAAACAAGTCACTCCTAAGGATTTGACCTGCTGGGAAGACTATCCCCAAAACTATCTGGAGGTAAAAGTAGGACCAGCTTTCTAGTTTTGAGGCACTAAAGATTTCCACCTCCGCCTTCAGACGGAGACTAAAAACGTGATGCCATCAAGATGTACCTACGTGACAGGTGGAATTTTAATTTTGCATTGGGTTTTGTCAGGTCATTTCATCAGGCCTCTCTGCTATGGAATTATGGGCTTCCATCCCCCTCCGATGAATGTTCCCCAGCTGCAAGAATACCAGCTTGCCAGCAGCAATCCAATCTCCCTTGAACAAGGGCCCAAAGTATGTCACTCAATAAAAGCGCAAGCAGAAACGCACTGGGGATTTTGACACTTGCCGTTTGCATCTATTGAACGGACCAA